TATTATCTCTTCAGTTTGGCGGTCTCGGATCTCATTTTTCTCATATTTGGTAAGTCGAGAATTTTTCCACATAACCTTGCAAACTAAATCGGTTATCTTATCTAAATAATTTGCTGTTGATTTGAATGTTGTTGATAACAGATAAGATTTATCTTTATTAATATTATTTAGATTACTGATAATAATTTAAATGAGATACTATAAAAAATCCCATTTCATCAAAAACTGTTGTAGGGTTTTTGGTTTTCAATTACTCTAAAAATAGAACTCATCATTTAATTACTTCATAAAAAAACAAATATTTTTAAAGTTTGGTTCATAACCTCACATTCCATCACTTCATTTAAATATTATTTTAATATACTTTCAATAAATTTTATTGAAAAGTTTTTTCTTCCTCTATTTGTGCACACATACACACACACCCAATCGCATTGAATAACTTTTCTAGAAAATAGCTCGTTCGCATAAAAGTTTATTTATTGAATGCCAACTGCGAACTCAGTCACTTTGGTAGTTAGTAATGCCGCAATTTCCTTTGACTTTTCCTACCCTCATGGATTTTTTAAATCAATTTCCTTCAAAACTATTCAATTCGAGAGAATATAAAAAATAAAATTGAAACTTAAAGCGCTTTGAAATGCACATGTGGTTGGTGATTGGAAAAATCCACGCCTAAGGTAGATGCTAAAAAAAAATATTTTTAAAAAATCCACGCCCCGGGTAGATGCTAAACAATATTTTAAAACCAGCGAGCGGGCAGTATAATCGGACGGGACCGACCATAAGATACCCTACACAACTACCACGGAACTTTAACTTCCTACGAATTTTTATTCCGAGTCTGGGCAATATTTCGTTATAGTTGCACCCTGTGGACCGACTAGAGGTCAACAAATATCACTAATATTCAGTACAGTCCTTCTAATTACTTGTTCAGTTACCCTTCAACGTGGCTTGTGTTGTGATGTTCGGCTTTCAATTGTGACCTATAGATCGACTCGAAAAAACACAAAAAAATTTTCGGTCGAATTCATACCAATATTATTATCTGATCATTACCGAAAATTATAGACGTTGTCCTTGATCTGGATCCTCATGGAAATTTTCAAAGCGACCAGAACTATATTTCCGCCCTCTAGTGTGGTAATGGGTTACTAAATACTATATGAATACGTAAGCACCTGTAAATATTTAAGTTTAACTCCCACATACGAGAACATACGACGAAAATAAAGTTTTTTGTCCATTTCATCCCCTAAATATTAACCGATCTTTACCAAAAACAATAGGGGTCTTCATTGGCCAGAACCCATCCTACATGCAAAATTTCGGGAAAATTGGTCCATAACTGTGGCCTGTATCGTGTTTAATAATTATAATGAACAGACGAACGGACAAACATGTCAAGATCGACTCAGCTAGTCCAGATATGACGATCGGCATACTTAAATGTAGGTCTAGGACCGATATTTCGCGGCGTTACAAACTCTTGTAGCTGCACAAAGCTATACCTAATTACCTGACAACATGGTTGGGTAGGGTATAAAAATGCAAAAAAAAAAATAATTAAAACAGTAAGGAATGTGATACCCTTCACCACAATGGGTATATTTAAAATATGCATCCTAACAGAAGGGCCATTAACATGAAATTGGATGAACTAAAATATTTGACCTTTATCGAAATGTGAATCGACTTAGATCAATCCATAAACCTGTCATTCCTTTGTTACAATGGGGCAAAATTATGTAAATAGATATAAAGCAAATATCAATCGGGCACCCGTTGAATATTTGGGGCACAATTAACACGATGTTGGTCGGAAATATATATGGGTTATATCTGTACTTTTACACGCGATTACGTCATTCCATTCTGAAAAAAACATGAAGAGTTTGGTGCACCATTTACATAAAATCGGATGAAAATATATATACTGAAGCTATATCCAAATATGAACCGATTTCAATGAAAATTGTCATAGGTTAGATTAATTTCAGCTCGTTTTGTTCCTAATGGACATATTTTGGGTCCTTGTGTCCTACTTAAAACCGGACGATACTATATGGGAGCTATATCTAAATCTGGACGGATTCCCACAAAATTGACACATGTTTGGCTATACTATCTGAAGTACGTTATGCAAAATTTTGTGTCAATCGGCCTAACATTGAGCCTTTGGTGCACAAGTTATTTAAAATCGGAAGAAAATATATATATATATATATATATATGGGAGCTATATCTAAATCCGAACTGATTTCAGCAAAACTTGACGCATGTTATACAAACTTTTGTATGTTATGCATAATTGTGTGGCCTAACTTTGGGTCTTAAAATCGGACAATTTTCAGGAAACATTACACACATCTTTCTAGACTCAATTCAGTACGCTATGCCAAATTTTGTGTTAATCGGAAGATAAATAGGGACTCTCGTACACCATTTACATTAAATCGGACGAAAATATATATGGGAGCGATATCTAAATCTGAACCGATTTTCACGAAACTTAGAACACATCATTCTAGACTCAATTCAGTACGCTATGCCAAATTTCGTGGAAATTGAAAGATATATAGGGACTTTGGTGAACTATTGACATTAAATCGGTCGAAAATATATATGGGAGCTATATCTAAATTTGAACCGATTTTCAAGAAATTTTACACACATCATTCTAGACTCAATTCAGTACGCTATGCCAAATTTCGTGCAAATCGGAAGATATATAGGGTCTTTCGTACACCATTTACACCTAAGTCTGTTTTTACACGGTCTTTTTGTACACGGTTTTGATATAACACGGTTTGAAAATTGAATATTTTTAATTTTTTTAGACGCTTTTATTTCATTTAGCACGATTTGAAATTTTATGTACTTAATTTTTTTTTGTCAAATTTAATTTTTGCGAAGTATGTTCATATCACAAAAAAGTATTTATTAAAGAAAAAAGTCTGAAACCATCGATAGTATCGATAGTTTGCGAACACTATCTTAAAGATATAAGTGAATTCCCCTTTAGCGCGTACAAACAATTTTTACTGGTCAAAGCAAATGTTGAATAGCACTAATTTAGGGGAATTCCCTTTATGTATAAGATCAATGTCTTTTTTAACACGGTTTTTTTTACACGGCTTCTTCTGGAACCAATCTAAAAAAACAGACTTAGGTGTACCTTAAATCGGACTAAAATATATATGGGAGCTATATCTAAATCTGAACCAATTCATCCCAATTTCAATACGGTTCGTCCTTGGGCCAAATAGAAGAGCTATGACAAATTTTATCCAATTCTGATCATAAATGCGACATGTAATTTGTTCATAATTTAACATGGACAGACTGACGGACATGCATAAATCGACTCAGAAAATGATTCTATGATTATTTTCAAAACGAACCATGTGTCCTTTTGCCTGTTACAAACATATGTATGTGCAGAGACATAATACTTTGTACCACAGTCTGGTGAAGGGTATAAAAATCCACGCCTTTTCCCCTTCATCGTTTACTTTATAAACCAACAGTGATGTGTAGAATTTATGAACCGAACGAAATGAATTTGTTTGGTGGAGGGGTGGTGGCCATCAATGAACATATTCATATTCATGTATCCCTCGTATGCCTTGTTTTGTGGAGCCCGATGTGTCGGAATTTATGTCTAAGTGAAATTCCAAAGAAAAACAATGTATCATATCCTGACATTGGCAAAACAATAAAAACCAAATGCTGCAGGAAAATATATGTACATACATATGTAGATGTGTACGTATGGCGGCACTCAATAAAAAAGGGAATATGTAATTTTATCCCACAAACAAGGGAGTGTGTTTTTCATTTTTTTCAGCTCTAGCTATAAGAGATGCTTTTTTAAATGTGTTTCAAAGGCTATTTACTGATTGTTTTTATTTAATATTTTTTCAAGGACCAAATATAGGCTTTAATTTCTAAAAAAATATTTTTTCAAGTAGTGGATTTTTAAAAAAAATCGATTACGGGTGCGGATTTGGTTACAACAATTTACAGCCAATACAAGCGTTAAGCGATATTTTTTAATACATTTCCTTACTTTAATGTATGCGAATTTTTATTGCAAACTTAAACATATTCAACATATAGTAGCGGATATGTTGAATATACATACACACATATTCATAATGATTTTTCCGTGTAACCCCTAGTGTATGAAAAGTTGAAAAACAAGTGTAATATTTCAAACATATGACAGAGTCGACAGTAGCAAAAAAAAAAAAAATAAATAAATAAATCGTAAAATATTTTTTAAAATAATGGTTTTAAACACCTCCTAAAGTTATATGAGCGCACTAAAAGTGACTTCATAAAACTAAAAAAGGACATTTGTTCACATTCATTTTTAACATAATCCTTAATATCAAATTTATCAAAACTTTCATGAAAACTATAAATTCGATCCCTCTCATATTGCTGTTAGAGAGAGATTTTAATTAAAAGCTAACCCAACAAATTATATGAAAAACAATTTAAAAACCAGTAAGGAAAAGAGTAAAGTCGGACGGGACCGACTATATCATACCCTTCACCACTATGGGTATATTAACCCTATGGCCAATAACCGGGTACATTTTTAGCTTTTTTTGAATAAAAATGCTGTAAAATTTTTAATAATGGAGATATTTGGATCAAATTTTGAGGAATCATTCTTGAGGTATTTTCATACATAATCGAAGAAAAAAATTAGAAATATTTTCCATATATATAATTTTTACAATTTTTTAAGTTATTACCTACGTAGATCAATAACCGTGGTACATTTGTACCCATCCAAAGATAGATCTGTAACTCATAAAAAAATTGGACTATCGTGAGGTTTTTTGTTTTAAATTAGTCTATACGGAAAACCAGGGTAGTTTCTGACTTACACGAGTCGCCCTGATGGACCTATGTTGTCTAGGGCGACAAAAATTTGCAGAGGGGTTGAGGAACACCTTAATAAGATCACAATAAAGAAATAACTAAAAAAGTTTATCCCATTCGAAAGCTATAACGAATTTACTATGATTGTTTTAGATAGATTATCATTTAAGCATGGATTTAAATATATATTATTTTAATGTATATATAATTTTGAGTTCCTACATCTATATCAGATCCCTATAGACTAATTTAAAACAAAAACCTGACGATAGTCCATTTTTTTAATCACTCATGATCTACGTATACTTTTTGGTTATTGACCGTAGGGTTAAAAAGATGCACCCTAACAAAAGGGCTTATGTGACCTTTATCCAAATGTGAATCGACTTAACATAAACAAGTCATTCGTTTATGGGACAAAATTATGTAAAACAAAATCAATCGGGCACTCGTTAAAAATATATGGAGCCCAATTAACACGAAGTCGTCGGAAATATATATGGGCTACATATGTACTTCTACATGCAATTACGTCATTCTATTCTGAAAAAAATAAAGAGTTATGTTCAACATTTGCATAAAATCGGATGAAAATATATATATAGGCTATATTCAAATATGAACGGATTTCACTTGTCACAGGTTAGGAAAATTTTCAGAGGTTAGGTTAGACAAATTTATGCACGTTTTGTTCGAAATGGACATATTTCGGATCCTTGGGTCCTAGTTAAAATCGGACGAAGCTATATGGGAGCTATATCTAATTCTGGACGGATTCCAACAAAATTGACACACGTTTCGCTATACTACCTTAAGTACCTTGTGCAAAATTTTGTGTCAATCGGCGTAACATTGAGTCTTTGGAGCACCATTTATTTAAAATCGAAAGAAAATATATATATATATATATATGGGAGCTATATCTAAATCCGAACTGATTTCAGCACAACTTGACACATGTTATGTTACACAAACTATAGTACGTTGTGAAAAATTGTGTGGCAATCGGCCTAACTTTGGGTCTTAAAATCGGACAATTTTCAGCAAACTTTACACACATCATTCTAGAGTCAATTCCGTACGCCATATCAAATTTCGCTCAAAATTTAAAATTAAAAAAAATTAAATTGTGCGAAAATATATGGAAGCTATATCTAAATCTGAACTGATTTTCACGAAGCTTTACAAACATCATTCTACACTTATTTCAGTACGCTATGCCAAATTTCGTCCAAATCGAAAGATATGTAGGGACTTTGGTACACCATTTACATTATCAGAATATATAAATTCTATGTCGATTCAGTCATGTCCGTCTGTTTGATTAAATAACGATGCAGCTCCCAATATATTACACATTGCTACTCGTCCTAGATTTTTTGGTATTGGAAATGGGACTTATTTGTCCTTTTTATCTTTTTTGTCCCCATACAAAATTAACCCCAATATGTGATATTTTTGGGTAAGTTTTTGAACCAATCTCCCCACTAAAAATTATCAAAAATGTTTTCGAATAATTCCCATAGAGCGGTACCTCCATTATTCGGTGTTTTGGCGACCGAAGTGGCTTTGAATTCTCATTGGACAGAGAATAGCTCTACCACGAATTTTTATTATTGTGTTTTGCACGGTGTAGCTCCCAAAGTGCGGAATCCCAATTTTTTTGTCATTTTGGGAATGTCCGAATAGACTATTATTTGATACTTTTGATTTTAATGGATTAATGCCGGAAGCTACCTTAAATTTTGAAGGTTATGACTGCATTTTCCCACCAAAGTGGGGTTTTGGAGGCTGGCATATGTGCAGATAATTATCAAACTTGGTCAAGGTTTGCACATAAAAGTACCGTCAAATTTTCGGTATTTTGAAGGTTTTAGCAGCATTCTCTAGGTTAGTTTAGGCTAGGAGCTATTTATGCAGACAATTTCCTAGGTAGGTTATGTTTGGACATACGTCACATATAAAATTTAGTCCTATTTGTACACTTTTGAGGTTTTACAAACTTTTTTTTTCCATCGAAGTGGCTGCAATTTTAAAACAGACAATACCACAGCCACCATATGAAGTACCCGACAATTTTTTAAGAAAATGTTGATGCACACCACAATGTGCAGGGTATAAAATGTTTGACCGGTCGGGTTTTTTTACTTGTTCAGATTTACTGACACTTTTTAGGGATGAAATTTTAAAAGTTTTAAGAAATTCCGGAAAAAATAAAAAAATGCTAAAAAATATGTTAGGTGCTAGATCAATTTTTTTGGTGCTAAACGAGTTTAAAAAGTGTTTAATCTAGCACTAAAAGTGCTAAATTGGCAACACTGTACACCATTTACCTTAAATCGGACGAAAATATATATGGGAGCTATATCTAAATCTGATCCGATTTTTCCCAATTTCAATAGTGTTCGTCCTTGGGCCAAACAAATGAGCTGTGCCAAAATTCATCCAGTTCGAATCAAAAATGCGAACTGTACTTTGTTTATAATTGAACATGGACAGGCAGACAGACAGACGGACCGACGGACATGCATAAATCGACTTAAAAACTGATTCTATGCATATTCTCAAAAGGAACCATGTGTTTATCTCCTTTCCTTTTGCCTATTAAAAACATATGCCCAAAGACATAATACCCTGTACCACAGTGTGGTGAAGGGTATAAAAAACCCAGCCAAGTTGTATGGTTTTAAGAAAATATTTTTACAAAATACACGACCAATTTTTAAATCCAAAATGTGTAAAAATATCCTATATAGAATTAGATTTTTTCTCTAAAATGTCCCGGTAATTTACTACCATCTATTTGTATTCAAATTCACTTCCCGTATTCCACGTTGAAAGGCCTCCATGCACGCCCCAGTCAGTTCTGACATTCCTCGGTCCCCGTCCACCTCCAAAACAAATTCAATTTGATAAATTTTGCAAATTTATTTATTTAATGCTTAAAAGTCATAAATTACGGTATTAAAAAATTCAATCAAACCATGAGGCAACATAAATAATTTATGCAAACACGATTTAATGATTTATTATGAAGGGCGGGAGAGGAAATTGTTTGGCAAATATAAAAAAAATGTTCTACAACAATTTTTTATTGTTTGCAAATAACACACACACAAACAATCTCACACATTTTTGAAGAATTTCTTTGCCTTACATCTGTTCCTTTTTCTTTTGCAGGACTGCCTACGGAAGTATTTTTATATTGGCATCAGTATCCGTTTTTATTTGGTCTAACATTTTGCAAAGTGCGGGCCTATATATCAGAAGCGTAAGTTGAACAATAAATCGTTGTTGTTTTCATTTTTCGTTTTTATTTTTGTTTTCTCAACAATGTTTGGCTTTCAAATATTTGTTTGTATTTTTTGCTCATACTCACCCCACACCTCTCTTACCCATCTCACCCCAAAACAGTTGCAGTTATGTTTCCGTCTTTACCATTGTGGCATTCTCCGTCGAACGCTATTTAGCCATTTGCCATCCATTGAGCTCGTATGCCATGACCGGCTTTAAGAGAGCCTTACGAATAATCGGAGCCCTCTGGTTGCTAAGCTTCATTGCTGCCATACCATTTGGGTGGCTAAGTGAAATTCAATATCTCAGCTATCCTCCAGGTAAAGGACATTCTAAAATCCATTTATTTTGGGAGCCTGTTTAACTGAGCTAAGCATTTTTGTTCTTCTTATAGACAACGAAACAATTTGTGACTCGGCAATGTGTGCCATGTTCCCACCCGAAGAATGGTATATTTTTGAGGCATCATTCCTGTTCTTCTTTCTCATACCCATGGTAATGATCTTCTATTTCTATGGTCGTATGGGTGCTGCAATACGGGCCAGAACGGAAAAGAAATTAGGTAAGTTGATGCCGGGTGGGCAAGAATTATGGGAATTAATGGGGGAAATATTTTTTATATTGGAATAAGTGTAATAATTTAAACATATATTTTTCAATTCTATAATAATTTCAGGTGTCCAACAAGGATCCATGCACAAGGCCCCGAGACATGAACAATCGCGGAAGGCCGTAATTCGTATGTTGGGTAAGTTAGAAAAGAAGGCACTTTTTTAAAGGAAATTACCGCTTTATAAAAATAATTTTAACACGTCCTCGCCTTTTAAATGACCGTATAAAAATATATTTTTAAATACACTCCAGTAATATAACATAAAACCAGTAAGGAAAGTAGTAAATTCGGACTGGGCCGACTTCACCTTCACCACTTTGGTGAAGACAACAGTATGTTCCTTCGAAGGAAAATACTCATATCTTTCTGCAACCTACGATAAATTTAATTTCATTCGGGCAGATTTAGAGTCGTCTGCGTACCGTGGGTCAAATTTATGGAAAACGATTTATAGAAAAATTGATACACGATATTCGATACGCCACACTGTTAAAAATTTAATTTCAATCAGACACCCATTCGAAATAAATATGGATGTTATGGCTGCAATTTCAATTTCAACAAAATGCAATAACGTCATTTAAGTCTCAATTTGATACGTTGTGCAAAATTTCGTGTTAATCGGACAAACATATGGCGCACCATCAATGTAAAATCGGCGGAATGTATATGTACATGTGGGATCTATATAGAAATCTAAACCAATTTCAAAAACTTACCACACATCAGTTTAGACTCAATTCAGTACGCTATGCCAAATTTCGTGCAAATCGAAGAAAAAATCAGTAAGGCCAGCAGTAAAGTCGGACGGGGCCGACTTTATGGTACCCTTCATCACTATGGGTATATTCAACAGATGAATCCCAATAGACGCCGCATTTTCAAAGGACCAGTAAAATGAAATTGGATCCATAAATATGTCATTCTGCAACATATACTAAATTTTTCATTTGGTCAGATATAGAAGCTATATCTAAATTTAAACCGATTTCATTGATTTCAGGAAATGTAACACATCATTCTAGACCTAATTCATTACGCTGTGCCAAAATTCGTGGAAACCGAAAGATATTAAGGGACTTTGTACACCATTTACATTAAATCGCACGAAAATATATATGAGATATATCTAAATCTGAACCGATTTTCAGGAAACTTAACACACATCATTCTAGACCTAATTCATTACGTTGTGCCAAATTTCGTGCAAATCGAAAGATATATAGGGTATTTGGTGCACAATTTACATTAAATCGGACGAAAATATATATGGGAGCTATATCTAATTCTGGACCGATTTTCACGAAACTTGTCAGGCATCACTCCAGGTTTAATTCAGTATGGCATGCCAAATTTCGTGCAAATCGAAAGATATATAGGGACTTTCGTGCATCATTTACATTAAATCGGACGAAAATATGTATGGGAGCTATATCTAAATCTGGACCGATTTTTACGAAACTTGGCAGGCATCACTCCAGGTTCAATTCAGTAAGACATGCCAAATATCGTGCAAATCGAAAGATTTATAGGGACTTTGGTACACTAATTACATAAAATCGGACGAAAATATAATTGGGAGATATCTAAATCTGAACCGATTTTTACGAAACTTGACAGACATCGCTGTAGGCTCAATTCAGTACGATATGCCAAATTTCTTGCAAATCGAAAGATATGCAGCGACTTTGGTCACCGTTTACCTTAAATCGAACGAAAATATATATGGGAGCTATATCTAAATCTGAACCGATTTTCGCGAAACTTGACAGACGTCACTCTAGGCTCAACTCAGTACGATATGCCAAATTTCGAGCAATTCGAAAGATATATGGAAACTTTGGTGAACCATTTGCATAAAATCGGACGAAAATATATATGGGAGCTATACCTAACTCTAAAGTCGATTTTTACGAAACTTGGCAGGCATCACTCCAGGTTAAATTCAGTACGATATGCCAAATTTCTTGCAAATCGAAAGATATATGGAGACTTTGGTGCACCATTTACATCAAATCGGACGAAAATATATATGTGAGTTATATCTAAATCTGTACCGATTTTCACGAAACTTGTCAGGCATCACTCCAGGTTCAATTCAGTATGCCATGCCAAATTTCGTGCAAATCGAAAGATATATAGGGCCTTTGGTACCCCATTTACATAAAATCGGACGAAAATATACATGGGAGCTATATCTAAATCTGGACTGATTTTTACGAAACTTGGCAGACATCACTCTATTCCCAATTCAGTACTTTATGCCAAATTTCGGGCAAATCGAAAGATATATGGGGACATTTGAGCACTTTTTACCTAAAATCGGACGAAAATATATACGGGAGCTATAGCTAAATCTGAACCGATTTTCCCCAATAGGGTTCGTCCTTGGGCCAAACAAATAGGGTTCGTCCTTGAGCCAAACAAATGAGCTATACCAAATTTTATCCAAATCGGATTATCAATGCGATCTGCACTTTGTTTACAATTTAACAGCAACAGACGGACGGACATGCATAAATCGATTCAGAAAGTGATTCTATGCATATTCTCAAAAGGAACCATGGGTCTATCTCGATTATTTTTGCCTGTTACAAACATATGCACAAAGTCATAATACCCTGTACCACCGTGTGGTAAAGGGTCAGTTGTATGGCCCTAGAAAAATATTTTTAAAAAATCTACGCCTTTTATATTTAAAAAATCCATCTCCTTTAACAATTTTTTAATTAGCACGATATAATTTTTTTTTTTACAAAATCTACTTTTTTTAATTGTTTTGAAAAATATATTTATAGCTCATTGAATTGTCTGAGAAATGTCGAAGCTTTTCCTAACTCACAAATAAAATATGTTTTTTTATCGAAATTAAACATTGTTAACATCTGTGTCTTACAGACTGTTGCAACAACCACAACAACAACAACAAAATTCTTGTTTACGACATTTCTATGAAATCTACTTATTAGCAGACAACATGACTCACACACACTCACATACAAATTACCACCATCCAATAACAAAATTAACACTCTCAATCAAACAAGTAATGGCCCAGAGAAAAATCCAGAGGCTGCCATAGATTGTCAAATGGGAAAAAGCATCGATGCAGTGCAAATCAATTGCTACAAGCTGCGTTAATAACTTTTTTGCGCCTGCCTTAACAAATATGACCCAAGGCTACCATGCCATGGCACAGACATCGACGAACAAGCCAACAGCAACAAATTGAAAAGTATTGGCCAAATCAAATCAATGTCTAAGAAGTATAACCCACACCTCTGACAGATTGCGGCAGACAGGCCAACAATGTGGCGTGTGTTTGACATTAGCTAGGGACATGGGAGGGAGCGGTAGGTAGAGAGAACGAATCCTGAGATACGGCGACTGCGAAGAAAAAGGCTTAAAGCCATTGAACTTGTATTTGATGGTGATAATAACCATTGGCATTACAGTGATAAACATTTGTAAGAAACAAATCTCATCCCGTCGCCATTTAGGTGCCTAGTTTATTAGCCACCCCTCACCCTTCCTACTCCAAAGACTCCCAAATAGAAATAGACGACGAAAATGTACATAAATTTAATATGGCCACATTTAAGAAATGACCTTTAATGCTCCATTCTCCATTACATGGCCGGTCATTAAATTTTATGACGGCTAAAGTTGAAAAAAAGTGAAAGAAACTGTTTGCTAAACAGAAATAGAAATCGACATGATACAACATGTTTGTCGTATATTATGGCTATCAATAAAAATGATTGAGTTATTATGATTATTATTGGCACTTCGATTCTTCGAACAAAGTCAATGGATGAACGGCGAAATGACAAAAGTTCAGCAAAAACTAACATCTAATAACTGTCGAAAATTTTATGACAGACTATGACGATGACGACTTATAGCAAACGCATATGGAAAGCGTTTTTGGTGGAAACAATATTGATTTTCAAGGTCAAATCAGATATCCATTTGTAAATGGACATTAAAGGACAGGCTTGGATTTTGTTCTGAAATTAAAAATCATTAACTTTTTAAAAATATTTTTCCAAGTCATTATATTTTTGAGGTGATACAACAGGCGTGGATTTTTATATCCTTCAGGCAAAAGCAAACGAGATAGACACAGAGTTCTTTTGGAGAATATGCATAAAATTACTTTCTGAGTCGATTTATGCATGTCCGTCTGTCTGTCCCTTTGTTGGTGTTAAATTGTAAACAAAGTACAGGTCGCATTTATAATCCGATTTGGATGAAAATTGATACAGGTCATTTGTTTGGCCCAAGGACGAACCCTATTGAAATTAGGAAAAATAGCTCCCATATATATTTTCGTCCGATTTTACGTAAATGGTGCACCAATGTTCCTATATGTCATTCGATTTGCACGAAATTTGGCACAGCGTACTGAATTAAGTCTAGAATAATGTGTGCAACGTTTCATGAAAATCGGTTCAGATTTAGATATAGCTCCCATCTATATTTTCGTCCGATTTTATGTAAATGGTGCACCAAATACCCTATATATTCCTCGATTTGCACGAAATTTTGCATAGCGTACTGAATTGAGCTTTGAATGATGTGTGCTAAGTTTCGTGAAAATCGGTCCAGATTTAGCTATAGCTCCCTTATATATTTTCGTTCGATTTAAGGTAAATGGTGCACCAATGTCCCTATATGAATTCAGCCTAGAATGATGTGTGCAAAGTTTCGTGAAAATCGGTTCAGATTTAGATATAGCTCCCATATATCCGATTTTCGTCCGATTTTATGTCAATGGTGCACCATAGACCCTATGTATTCCTCGATTTGCACGAAATTTGGCATAGCGTACTGAATTGAGTCTTGAATGATGTATGCAAAGTTTCGTGAAAATCGGTTCAGATTTAGATATAGCTCCCATATATATTTTCGTCCGATTTAATGTAAATGGTGTACCAAAGTCCGTATATATCATTCGATTTGCACGAAATTTGGCATAGCATACTGAATTGAGTCTAGAATGATGTGTACAACGTTTCGTGAAAATCGGTTCAGATTTAGATATAGCTCCCATATATATTTTCATCCGATTTTATGGAAATGGTGCACCAAAGACCCTATATATTCCTCGATTTGCACGAAATTTTGCATAG